CAAAGGCAGCAGAGAAAAAATAAAAATAGCTGTACCAAATTTGATTGCATTTTAGTACAACGATAATTCGTGTCTGCAATGAAAATATAGGGGTCAAGATAAACATTATAGAACTAGTTTTTAAGAAGCAACTCATTAGCAAGTACATAGTTAATTAATAATATCCGTCTGGAATTTATTGTTGCCTAAGAATTTTAATGTAAACCGGCTTTGCTTGATAACGAAAATGTAAATTATAATGCAAAGAATGATTAGTAATTGTCTTAATGAAAGGAACGGAATATTTTTATGGCATTTACAGACTTCTAGCTTACCAATCATTAGCTTCCAATGGACTAAAGATATTTTCTATATATGAAGGTTTGCCGTATTCTCCATCAATAGCAGGCAGGATGTAGGTTGTAGTTTGAGGATTCAGGTTCATCAGAGTGCTTTGCTGACCAGTATCTGTCAATATACGAAAGTATCTATTTTATTTTGGGTTTTAACCAATATAACATCATCTAACCCAAACTTACATAACATAACATCACGCCTTTTATCCTCGAAGGGATAGGCAGAGGTGCACATAAAGCTACTGTACAATGTAACACCCACTTTTCACTATTTATGTTATGAGTCCCATGTAATATGGGGTGAGCCTATTGCCATATACCGGGCACAATTCCAGACTCCGTGCTACTACTGAGATTTTTTAAAAAAAATCCAGTAATACTTTGCCCTTCCCGGGAATCGAACCCGAGACCCCTTGCCCGGTAGTCGCACTTGCAACCACTCGGCCAACGAGGCAGTCCCAACGTAACCCAAACTTATTTATCTAATAACATTTTAAAATAAATAAAATTTAATTAAAATATTAAAATACCAGCGGGTCGTCACTGTTGTAACATCATTACAATAGATCGTGCTGCATTGCTTAAAAGTTCTGACAAAATACTAAAAGGAAAATAATATTTTTTTTATATTTAAATGTTGGATCGGTGAGTCCCTCGCCACCTTACATTTAATACACCCCACCAGCATATGATAAACATCATCTAACTTGCCACATACTTCGCAGTAAGGTGAATTTACTTTTTTAGTCAATTTTTACATACTCTTTGACAAAGCATGGGTGTTAATAAATATTTTGCCATAGCCACACAGCACTTGTAGTTTATCCACAAGATGGTAACTTGATCTATGATAAATTTGTTAGGAAAAACGTACATCGTATGATTGATAAAATTTATCTTCATCTACGACGTACCATTCAGATCCCCTATAATTCTTATAGACTTCAATTCACGGATGTTTGAACATATCAACACATTTTATCAGCCAGGAAATATCAGTTGATAAATAATAAAATTGAAAGCTAGATGAATGTGTGCCTCTGATTAACTTTACTGTTGTCATCTACATATTTATCAGCCCCAGATACGAAATTTGAATATACAAAAAATAAGTAAGTAAATAATATGTGTACAATTTTATAAAATTCCATTTGCATTTTTCTACGTTTTTTATAGGTATGTACCGGAATCAACTGTATTTTATTAACAATATCATTTTAACAGTAGTTATGTAGATAATAGTAATGTATAGTGATGTTTATCTACAATAGTTCTACACTAACCAGGGGTACTAACCAGGATTACTAACTATCCTTGGGTGCATTTTCACATGGCATACAGGGATAGTCGCCAGTTTGTGTGTCCAATACATTTAGATTAAAGTTTTCTAAAGGGCCTCTGCGCAGTTGTTTTCGGCCCTTCGTACGCCGCCCTGTGGTCCCGTAACCATTTACGGCTATTTATTGTGGCTTTACCATTAAAGCCACAATAAAATATATAATGAAGTAAAAATATTCGACGCTACGGATTTTTCCTCTTAAATGGTGAAATGCTGGTAAAAATCTATCTCGAACATAAACCAACAATACGACATTATCTGTAAGCATACCACATATATTGGTTGTAGGGCAACCTCGTAAGAACATTTTGTAAATATAAAGATAAAACCTAATAACTGTTATTATAGTATTTACCAAGCCTTAAGCCTCAATAGAATTAAATCGATTAAGTTTTATGCAAGTGACATTATGTGAGAGATAATGCATTTCGGGGATTAGCGCATTATAACCTTGATTAACAAATTATGAAATCTTTTTTATCGAAATAACCGTAATAATTTCGTTGGGCAATAAAGATAGTCTGTCAATGAATTACATAACCTTATATCTGCCATTCTGTTCAAGTTGAAAATCGACAAACCGCATTGAGCAAGCGCCCAAACCTTCTCCGTGCCAGAAGAGGCTTTTGGTCAGCAGTAGCCACTGATAACCTGATGATACTTACCATCAGATAGTCATCATGATCATCATCAACAGCCTATAAATGCCCACTGCTGAGCAAGGCCTCTTATCACATGGAGAAGGTTTGAGCAATAATCACCACGCTTGCTCAATGCGGGTTGGCCATCAGATAGTAGAGATTTACAATTAAACTAAAAATCTATATTTCTACAACACATTGTTGTAACTGGAGTCAAACCTCATTCATATCACTGGTTGTACATTCAAGACCAAAGACATTTCATTAATTTTACTTAGTCTATTATGAGGTCTCCCATTTTCCCAAATGTGCCCTTCAGCTTATACATCTGTGTACACGCATTTAATAAACCTGTTTAATATTACAGAACAAGCCTGGATCCTGTCAAGGACGAAGACCCTGGAAGGTGAACCCAAGACCATCGTTGACAACTTCTTGAAGGAAAACCCCAAACTGATTGATGTCAGCGAACTTGTCCAGACCGACTTTTCTGAGGAAGCTTGCAAGTACACTGAATCCAGCGTCATGACTGAACAAACAGCCAAGCCCTGAACGTAACCTAACAAAAACCTAGCAACGTAAGACCTATATAACATCGTCACCTTATTTTTGTCACTATTATCCCATTTCAAACTCAATTCCTAACACCATAGATATCAATTTCTATTGACGGTAATAATAGTGTCAAAAATGAGTAATTTAATTGCGTATTTATGAAATTCTTGATTGTGAAATTATTTGAAGGAACGAAATTGAGTGAAATGTTCTCGAATGTTTTTATTTATTTCGAATAAGTGTTTCATTGTGATATATAATAATGATTTTACGTTAATAAATAGTAATATCAACAGTATTATATATTATGTATCAGTTATGAGTTTGTTTATATATAAAACTCTTTTAATATAATTCTATAATCCTAAGCAAATATTACCAAAACCAAATGACAATAAATTATGTATAAGTTGTTAATATAACTAATTTTGTGTATACGATATAATAATAAATACTGATTGAGCTAGGTCTAACGTATGTTATAAAATAGTTAACCATCTTATTCATAAACACTAAATAACCTAACTACGACTATAGAATAATTTGCCATTTAATTTCAAATAATCATCTGAAATATTGAAGACAAATTGTAATTCTGTGAGAAGTTACCACAGGTTAATAGGAGTTTTTATGAATGGGACTGTAAAACTATTTGTCGGAAAATAAACTTTCTATAAAAATATTTCTATATTCTTTTTATTATTCTGACCTTTATGATCACATTACTTTGCTAAACACTATGTCTTTTTTATGGGATAAACCGGTAAAAGAGCAGGATCACCTGATGGTAAGCTATGGACACCTGAAATACCAGAGGCGGTACAAGTGCGTTACCGGCCTTTTATGGATTAGGAATTAAAGGAATGTTGGGGATTCCGGGATTGGAGAAGGGGGAAGGTTTGGACCGTCCTATAACCTCACTCTCACAACGAAACACAACGCAAGGCGTTGTTTCACGTCGGTTTCCTGTGAGGCCGTGGTATCACTCCGATCGAGCCGGCCCATTCAAGCCGAAGCATGGCTCTCCCATACTTTCTTCTTGCGACGCTGATCATTTAGCCCCATATCCAAAGAAAAACACAAGGTTCTTTAACACGAAAAGGGCTTTAAAAGTTGTCTTGCAACGTATTACTAGTACAAATTAATCAATATTTATCAATAGATATCGAACACAAATGTTCTATACGTCATATGCCCTCGATAGTGTGGTATGTGACATCATGCACTGTTTTTCCCCGATACACATGGTACATTAGGTAAATTTTTCTGTTACTGGCTAGGTTACACTACTATTAGGTACGATCATTAACTTTGAGAACTTGGACACAAAACCTTCTGTTATAATAAAATAATCCCTCTGAGACTTGCCTGACCCTGAATCTAAATAAGTTGTTAAATTGCTATGATATCAGAAATGTTTCAATTAATTTATTATTATTACTTGGTTTTTTAAGAAAACTTAGTAGTTGTACGGAAACTGAAATTGTGTCCAGTATACGGCTCACTCTCTATTACATGGAACTCATAACATGAATAGTGAAAAGTGTAAAATTGTACAGTGGCATTAAGTGCCGTTATGTGTACCTTTTCCTATCCGTTCCTGGATAAAGGCGTGATGTTATGTTATCTTTAGATAACAGAAAGTTAAGGTCGAAAGTAACCATGCATGTCCGTAAAGAATTATTGAGTTTCGAAAACCGTTAAACTTTAAAAAAATGATTACTATTTCGTCAGTTCATGTAATTCAGCTGCTATGCAGTAAAACCGAACTGCATAAACATTTTACCAACGCTTGAAATTTAACCTATCAGGTATTGTTGTCTTCTGCCAGAATAACTAGGTTTAAAAAGCTTACAATAAAGAAAATGAAGGACAATCTATTACTTTTTAATTTAAAGTTTTAAAGTTGCAATTATGTAAATACTGTTCAGTAAGTGTTGTAGTCATGATGGGTTCAACTTATATATAGTAGTAATGATTGTCTGTGTAAGAACATACATAGAATTCAGAGAATACTCTTAATTTGAATAAAAAATAGGAAATCATCAACAAATAAAACGAAGGTTTCTTTATTATCATTCATTACTATAGCGTTTAAAAATATTTGACGAAGGTTCCTTTATTAAAAATATTGAATTCAATCAGTGGGATTAACTAATACCAAGTACTTATCGATATAAAGCAAGTTAATCCTCTTATATTACGCACATTTTCAACTATAAATTCTGATTACGACGAAACAATAATGGCGTCAAGCGATATAGATGCAGATTGTAGTTATGCATTCCTAATTAATTACTGTTACATAAATTGAATACCAAAAACTTATTTATTACTTACTCCTAGTTACTTAGTAATCATAGTTACTCCTTAGAACATCGGCTACCTAGTAATGAATTTCTCGTCAAAATCGGTTCATCCATTTCAGAGATTCGCTAGAACAAACAGATAGACGAATTTGTAAATAAAATTATTTTAAGATATTTATTGCATGTAGGTATTTTAATGTGCATGTATAATAAAAAAGCGATAATTCAGTATTAGAAACAGACACTCTTTTTTTTTATAATGTATTTATAGGTTATATATAGATTTCAAAATAAGGAGAAATCACTTTAAGGAAATTCGCCATTGGCCAGTATATTCGATTTTTTAGAGGTATATCGACATCGATTTTTACAAATTTCGTTAAGAGATTGGTTACCAATTATAATCACCCCCTATTAAATGGGACTCATATATACCATAATTGGTGAATATTTTTATTGTTACATTAGATTAAAACTTGCCTACATTCATAACATACACTCTACAACCGATTGAGTGTCTTATGCGCCAACATCAGCGCAGAAGACGGTAGGTTTTCAGGGGATAAAATACATGACGGATTACAACTTCTGTGACTTGGTGAATAAATGTTAAATTTAAACAACAACTTATGCTTAAAATCATTTATTAACAGTCTAATACAAGATTTTCGCTAAGGATTCACCAGAAATTACTTGTAAAGAAATCAGTTTCTAGTTTATTCGTGTAGGCACAGCTTGCTTCTGAGAAATCTTTGAAAACGAACGAAGTCCTGTGTTCAGCCAGCTCTGGGTATTTGGACAGCGAATCTTCAACCTTTTTCAGGAGTTCTCCTTGAAGTTTTTCCTTTCCACGTGTCAGCACCCATGTGTAAACTGGAATTTAAATATACCTAATTATAAAACAAGTTCTGTTAGTTACACTATATGTATATAACTCAAGAACGGATTATCTGATTTGGTTGAATATTGGTGGATAGGTAGCTACGAAAGAAAGAAGAATGAAATAAAATTCCGAAAATCTTACATGAACGGCAAACGGGATTGCGGGTACGAACTCTCGGGCAGAAGGTAATTCTATAATATATTCCACATAACATAACATCACGCCATTTATCCCAAAAGGGGTAGGCAGAGGTGTACATTATGCTACTGTACAATGTAACACCCACTTTTCACTATTTATATTATGGGTCCCATGTAATAGAGGGTGAGCCTATTGCCATATACCGCGCACAATTCCAGACTCCATGCTACTACTGTGATTTTTTTGAAAAACCTAGTAATACTTTGCCCGACCCGGAAATCGAACCCGAGACCCCTTGCCCGGCAGTCGCACTTCCGACCACTCGGCCAATGAGGCAGTCGTATCTATAAATTTAAGAAAAAAAAATTACTTCATTTGTTTTAGTGTCGGTAAGGTGTGAGGGAAGTATTGAGTAAAGACAAAAGTTAATAGACAATTTTCGATTTTCGATTCAAATATTGAAAATCCCCTAAAAATATATTTTGATGAAGTTACATTGTAGGTATGTGTGAGCATTATCACAGGTACGACATTGCTTTAAATTCCATCAAAAGAATTTCGAAATCTAATCTTTAAGTAGGTACTACCAAAGCAAAGTATTTAAATTATTTATATCATCATCAATGCGGGTTGGCGATTTCAAACTTAAAATTAGAAATTATAAGCCCAGGTTTTCTCACTATGTTTTCCTTCACCGTTTGGTGTCTAAATAATCTCAGAAAGTACCGACATATAACTCAGAAAAAGGCACATCGATGCTTGCAGTTGGTAGGTTTCGAACCCGCATCCTCATGCATGAGAAGCGGGCGTTTGAACCTCTGGGCCACCACGACACTTATTCATAATATAACTGATATTTATTTATTAAACTTTATTGCACATACACCGTGATATTTTAATGGTTGTTTTCCCACAGTAAAATGATTCTATTTTAGTAGTACAATAGATTGAGAAAGTTGTTTTTAATTTAAATAAAAAAATAGCAGTTTTACGATAGTGATACACGAAACTTGAAAGAAACCGCGAACCAATAGTACCGCCGCGACCGGCCACCGGCCGCTGTCATTGTCGCTCGCGCTTATCAAAAGGCTGATAACTCAGTATTTACTAACAAGTGATTTCCATTTTCCCTTCATACTTTAACGGGCTTAGGGCCGTCGTAAATACTTTTTAACTACACTTACTAAACACAAACATAAAACAAAATTTAATCAAGAGATATTATCTTGTTTATTACTGAATTTGGGAAAGTATTTATGGCGTATTTAAAAAATGGGAATCAACGTATTTACAATGATTTTAATCACCTATCTTATTGTTTTATTTACAAATGTACAAGTACTTACACTTCCCGGTAACGGAGCAATTGTTCAAAGTGTAAGCCACCGCGTTCCACACACAATCGTGCACGTTTTAACTGATTGGCTTTCAATTTTAATAATGTGTCTCTGTCACGTCTAATCACATCAAAAGCGTCCACTATCGCACTTTTTAACGCGTCGCGAGTTTCGTACTCTTGCCGATACACAAGGCGTTTGAGATTAGACCACAAATAAAAGTCTAGTGGAGTAAGATCCGGGCTTCGTGGTGGCCATGGCACTGGCCCGCCACGACCGATCCAACGCTGGGGAAACACCGAGTCGAGGTGCTCTCGCACGGCGCGCTGATAATGCGCAGGGCAACCATCGTGCTGGTAATACAGGCCATCCATGGGCACTGCTAACGGAATGTCATCTAGTAAGTCCGGGATAACACTACGTAGCATTTGTAGGTACGTTTCACCGGTTAAGTGTCCTGTCACAAAATGCGGACCAATTAAGCAGCCGTTTATTATACCGGCCCACACGTTTACACTAAACCGCACTTGATGCGCACATTCCCGAATAACGTGTGGGTTATTAAAAGCCCAAAAATCATAATTCGCCCTCGCGTACAATTGCACCATAGCTACGTACTCCACATTAGAAAAAACGTAATGGCGATCCATTTTGGCGGCAATAATATTGTACTGCGCTTGCGTGGTTGCGCGGACGGCGTTCGCGGTGCGACTGGTGTGAATGAAAGCGATGCGAGGCGATGCGGGCCGATGCGAGTGACAGAGAGCGCGGTGGTTGCCTTTGTTGTTTGTCGTGAGGCGATCCGCTCGCGCGCGCGTGCATTGCAGTTTATGCTGTATTACTTAGTCCGAGAGATTATTTTACTATGAACATTGATTTGACGTCACATTTTAGAAGAGAAACTATCGTTTCTCATGCTTTCGAGTTGATGATTATTTTTTTGAGTATATGAGTAGTTTTTTGAGTATAGTTGTAGTGACATAACTACAATAGTTGGATATATGCTACCACGGAGTTTTTTGTAGACATTATGATGTTCTTTAAGATTGTTATACATTATGACGAAAGACATTTTAAGACTCATTTTTCCACACCTTTGGTTACATTGTTCAAATTTTACCAAGAATCTCAAATTTTTTTCAAAATGAAATGTAGCCCATATTAAATTGGAAGAATGCAGCATTCTATCGGTGAAAGAATTTTTTAAATCGGCCCAGTACTTTTTGAGCCTATTCATTACAAACATACAAAAATAGGTACAAATCTTCTTGATAATTTTAGTATAGATACATGTTTGTTTGTTTGTACGCGTTAATCTCAGTAACTGCTGGTCCGAATTAAAAAATGTTTTAGTGTTGGTTAGCCCAATTACCAAGAAAGGCGATAGGCTAAAACCTACGATCATTATGGCCCTACGATTATTAGGCGCCGAGCAGAGCGTAAGCGAGGAAGTAGCTAATAGTCATAAATAAAACGCGGCATACCGTAGTGTTTACGAATTTTCTCCTTCAGCCATTTGCATGTGTAAGCGATTGCATAGCCATCGTAGTCAGTTGATAGAATCAAGAATGGAAACTGGAGCACTTTGTCTGAAAACATAAATTATTATAAGTTATTATATTAAAGTTTCTTGATTAAATCTATTCATTATTACATACCTCACTAAGCTAGCAGGTATATAAGATATGAGACTAATATGTATATAAATAAATAAAAAATGAATTGACGTTCATTAGTCTCGCTAAAACTCGAGAACGGCTGAACCGATTTGGATAATTTTAGTCTTGAAATGTTCGTGAAAGTCCAGGGAAAAATATTTTTAAGCGGTACGAAGTTTGCCAGGTCAGAGTTTAAAGAAATATGAATTACTAGCTGTCCCCGCGATTTCGTTCGCGTAGGTGATAACATGATAATAATGTAGCCTAAATGTACAAGTAAAACCAAGACTTTTAATAATTATAGGCCGGCTCGACCGGAGTGATATCACGGCCTTACAGAAAACCGACGTAAAGCAAGGCTTGCGTTGTGTTTCGTCGTGTGAGTGAGGTTACCGGAGGCCCAAATACCCTTCCCCAATCTTCCCGATCCCTGAATCCCCAACGATCCTCAAACTCCTAATCTCGAAAAAGCCGGTAACGCACTTGTAACGTCTCTGGTGTTCCAGGTGTCCATGGGCGACGCCGATTGCTTACCATCAGGTGATCCGTCTGCTCGTTTACCGGCTTTTTTTTTAATGGGACAAGCCCGCCACAACCTCCCATAACCGCTGCAACTCCTGTAAACCAGGATCTACAGTAGATACAACCATGAAAACACCGGAACACTGAAGATATTATAAGAGGAGAAGAAGAAAAAACTATGGTTTTAACTTCCCTCGGTGAATTACTACCGGCTTATGCAATAAAATAAAAATTATGTAGCTTAGTTACGCATTTTCAATAATTCAATTGTTGAAATTTAGAACTATCAGAAGCCTCACCTCCTGCTTCATGACTCATGATAAATTGAGCCCTGTTTCCCGCATCAAAAGTGGGGTCCACTCTGGCTTGGTATACCTTCTGGGTTCTGTTACCCTGGTCCATTTGAACATAAGTTTCTTTATACATGTATCCCAAGTTGTCTTCTTGGAAGTCCATAGTGGAACAGTCGTATATTTCCCGTCCATCGCTGGCATAACTTGCTACATTATACCATAGGCCTGAAAACTGAGAAAAGACGATTATAAATATAACAAAATGGTAGGTTTTTGTCTTCGGAGTAGCAGGTCTTTTGGATAGACGATTGTGTATCGATTTTGTAAAATCCTACTAATGTAATAAATAGGAAATTTGTTTGTGTTTATTTGGTTTTGATTCACGCCACATCATAGAGTTCTTATTTTGATTTTTAGGTTTGAAGCTAATAAGGAGGTTAACGAGTGGTAGAGGCTACTTTATACTTAAACCATGCCGGCGAAATTATTAATCTTTAATATTTTATTGGCTTAAGTTAGTGAAATACTAGATATAATGCCATTTTGTATTTTCACAGATCTCATTAAGTAAACAAAAAAAAATTACTACTACTACTAGCTACTCATTTGACACAAAAATATTTAATCAAAACTATATATCAACGTTCAATGTTTACTAAAAGCAATCCGCTGATTTGTGTCGATAGCTGAACAATTAAAATTCCATAGGAGATCGTTATCTATAGATTTTATAATTATCTATTTACTTTAAAAGCATACACCGACAGTATAGAAAATAATTGCCAATAATAAATCATTTGATTGATCTAATTATTCCTAATCTTCAAATTGTTTCAAGTAACTAGGCTGGCAATGAAAAGGAACCGTCGTTTTATTATCAAGAAATCAATTGAAGATATTAGAATAACGATATTTCACAGTAAACTAATATAGCTTCTATTTACCTAACAGTACTTTGATTATTTAGGGAATTTTTCCATAGTTTTGCTGAGAAGATAAACAAAACTACTTCGATCCCATTATAGAATTTGCGTCCCTACAAGGCTTACATAACCTTGCACAACACAGTCTAATTTATTAACAATCACTCTAGCCAATAAAAATATATCTCGCAAAAATGAAACGAAGCAATGTAGACCTTAATACAAACTGAACTCACCTTAGTTGGATCCAAATTATCTTGCAGCTTGACATCAGGACATACTCCAGGTAAAGTATACTCCGCGGTAAAAACTCCTACAAACAGGGAGAACAGTACAAGTAACATTTTAAGACAACTGGAGCGTCCGAGAATGAGATAGCGAATGAGCACTCCCGTCCTACAATGTAATTATTCAATGTGCTGACCCCAAGACGTTTTATACAGAAATAGACGTAAATTGACCACGTTTTGAGACGTAACGTGGACATCCTCCCGTCTGATTTACCGTTTCGTTATATTTACGCAACTTTTTGCGTTGTAGGTTAAAGGATGTGGTAATTGTTTGCTCGTTTACCCCAATTAGGGTGAGTCTGTAATGTAGGTTTATAGTTTATTCTAAAAATATGTGCTGTTTTTCCTTTTTTTCATTACCAGGAAAACGTTCAAGATACTTTGTAATCCGTAGCACTCTACCGCTTATTCAATTGCTGAAAATTAATGAAACGCTGTTTTTATAAAGTGGAATCGTCCCATTACCCTATATCAAGATTTCTTCATGTACATGCACGGGCCATACAGAGAGACAACAATTAGTGTATCACTCAAGTAATTGTTATATACAGGAATTGAATACGATACGTTGTCCCCAACCTCTGCACCAGTCATGCTGCCATGGAGTCATAATATCGTGTGGTTCTACAAAAATTGTAGGCACATAATAAAATGTATACATAATTATAATTATGCCTTAAACTTTTTTAACAGTATATTTGTCACTGTATAATCAACTCTTTGATATAAGTATAACTTTTATTCCGACAGTAATTATTATCGTTTCGCAAAACATAATGTTAATAATAAACAAAACGATTAATAGAATTGAGCTTATACCAAGAAATATTGTTGGGTAATGTTTGGATGTAAAATTCAACTACATTTTGTCTTATTTTTTCCCTATTTACTTCAAAGTGACATGTTTTTATATGTTACACTTTGATTACAGGATATTTGAAGATAGAATGTCAACTTTATTCTTAAAAAATGTTAACTTCGTTTTATTAAATGTTGCTGTGCCCTTACGAGGTCCATAAATGTAACTTAGTTTTAAGCGTATTGTAACACCTTATTCACTTTATGGTATGCAAATAAATTAATATGAATATAAATATGTTCGTACATAATCTGTAACTTATAAAATACTATTTTATTGACGTGATATACTTATTTGGATATGTCTATCTATTCTATAGTGTATATTTCTCCAAAACAGTTGCTAACGCCAACCCAGCACGGGGTTTGGGATTTGATTGTGGTTGAATCAGCCGAATTATTGCTGAGTTTGTTCAGATTTTCGTATAATTCTCAGTAATAATATATACTGCCTCGTTGGCCGAGTGGTCTCAAGTGCGACTGCCAGGCAAGGAGTCTCGGGTTCGATTCCCGGGTCGGGCAAAGTATTACTGGTTTTTTAAAAAAAATCTTCGTAGTAGCACCTCACTCACCTCCTATTACATGGGACTCATAACATAAATAGTGAAAAGTGAATGTTACATTGTACAGATGCATAAAGTGCCTTGATGCACACCTCTGCCTTCCCCTTCGGGGATAAAAGGCGTGATGTTATGTTATTAAGTGACAATACATAGTCTAGATTGCGTCTGAGTTGTAAAGGTGCAACTGATAATATTGTGTATTTTTTGGAAAATAGACAACTTGTTATTACAACAAATTAGGTTTATTAATAGTTACATAGCTGTATAATTACGAATAAAATACCGTATCAGTTTAAGAACATTCTCTTATTAATTCTGAGAAATTATCGTACAAACAATTTAACCTATAAACAAAGATAACCTCTAGATTTATTTATTTAAAACAAAAACATTATAAAGAACATCATATCAAATTGTTTCTCCACAAAGTCCGTACGTCAATTCTGTTAAAATGTTAAAGATATTAATAGTTTCTTTATTTCTAAGTGTATGTAGTGTTTACGGTTATTTTACTTTGCCTGGAAAATGTCCTGAAAATGTTCAGTTACAGGAAGAATTTAGATTGGCTGATGTAAGTAATAGATATACAT